CATTGTCGACATTTTAAATTTTTCGATACAAATTGGGACTCATCTGACCAACTATGTAAATTTGAGCTAAAAAATACAAAATTAAATACTAAAATCGGAAGAAACTTTCCGCGCTTTTGAATAAGTTGGTGGAAGATTCAAGGTATGGGTCAGTTGACTCTTCGTATGTGTTCAATTTTTAACGTTAGGTGTGGGGAACCTAGGGGAAATTTATTCAAAAAGGTCTAGTGAACTCTACGTGAGCATATTACTGTCAAACCTAAAGATCAGTGCTTTAAAAATGGACTTGGGCAACTTTATATCTCGGCAAGATAATAAGCTTAAGTACTTGATAAAGTTAAAAAATAATATTAATGTAGGAAAAAACACCGGAAAATTGGAATATCCTGCTCAGAGCACCGTCCTAAATCCAATAGATTAATTTTGGACATCAATTGATTAAAAAATTGCGATGAAATCTATATATATAAAAATGAAAGTGTGTTTGTAAGCATGTATGTTTGTTTGTTTGTGCTTTATAGACTGCTAAACGGCTGGACCGATTTTCCTGAAATTTTCACAGTTTCTTTCTGTATGTCTGGAGGAACTATAGGCTACTTTTTATGTGGAAATTTCATGTGGGCGACGTGCCACGCCCATATTAAGAAAATATTAAATTAGTATATCTGAGATAATATAATAGTTAGAGTCTTCAAATTTTGTAGGAGCAACTTTAGTATCAATATAATTATTTAAGACAAAAAGTGGGCGGATTAGCATTAGGGGGCGTGGCATCTCCCATATAAATTAAATACAAAAATTCGTTTATCTTGGAAACTTATCTCTGGAAACTATTATAGTTAGAATATTAAAAATTTGCACGAGTAACTTTAACATCCATGTAAACATTTTGGGAAATAAATTGGCGGACTACCCATGAGGGAAGCAGCACCTCCCATATTAATAAAATACTAAAATTGGTTTATCTGGGAAACTAATAGAACTAAATTCTTCAAATTTTGCACTAAGAACTTAAATATTCATCTGAACATTTTGGAGAAAAAAGAACGGACTTTCGTCATGGGGGGCTTGGAGCCCCCATATAAATTAAATAGGAAAATTATTATATCTGAGAAACTATTAGAGCTAGAATCTTCAAATTTTAATTGAAGTACTTTGACATTCATGTGAACATTCAGAGAATAACGGGCGGACTTTCAATGGGGGGCTTGGCACCTCACATATGAATTAAATACAAAATTTCGCTTATCTCGGAAACTAATAGAACAAGATTCTTCAAATATTGCAAAAAGAACTTTATTATACATATGAACATTTTGAAGAAAAAAGGGCGGACTTTCATCTGGGGGCTGTGAGTTCCCATATGAATTAAATAGAAAAATTCGTATATCTGAGAAACTATTAGAGCTAGAATCTTCAAATTCTACATGAAGATCTTTGACATTAATGTGAACATTTAGAGAATAACGGGCGGACTTTCAATGGGGTCTTGGCACCCCCTATATGAATTAAATACAAAATTTCGTATATCTGGGAAAATATTAGATTTTGTTTTTAATTTGTCATCGATTACATTAAAATCTTAATTAACGTTCGGAAAAAATGCATCTCTGGAAATCATTACAGTTAGAAACTTCAATATTATTAAGAAGATTTTTTATTCATATTGTTTTTAGGGCAGCAAATGATTCCTTTTGAAAATAACCATATCGGGAAAAACAAGGAGAAGGGAAGGCGATTGGCAATAATAATGGTAAAAAAAATGACAAAAAGGCTTAAGTAGATCCAAATATTCTAATCAGAACCAAAATAGATTCAAAATTTTGATATACAAGAAATTTTAACAATGATATATTATTTTGTCCGACAAAAAAGTGAATTTACTTTAATTTTAAATTTTATACGGAAACATTTTAAGTACAATAATTTTTTATTGTTATTTTTGTAGCATTGTATATTAACTAAATGAATTTAAATAAATTTTCATTATTTAATAATCATTTAACGGATTTTTCGCTGAAAGAATATAGCATGAGTAATTTTGCACTTTATTTTGTCCGATAGTGTATGTATAGGATTCGGTATATCCAAATTTTGAATCGCATGTTTCAACTTTTTTGACAGTAATTACATCTAAATGAGTTCTGGCAACACTGGCTGCTGCTATTATTGAGAATGTGAGAATATTTTGTTAATTTAAATTTTCTCTGTTTGCTTCCCACGTGTACGTGAGGAGGTGGTGGGGCGTTGTATACTTCTGATGTTTTCTTAAAATGCATGTGCGAGTGTGTGAGAAATGTGCTTATAAGCACGAGTATGTGTTTATTGTTGGAATTTGACTTTTGCATGCATATAAACGGAGTTGGGGGTAGTGTATTAAACATTGCACTATAGCGCTCAATTAACACCATGTTCTTGTACCCCGTTCAGACGATGTAATTATTCGCCATTCACGCTCTAATTCGTCATTCAGCCTCAATTACAAACAGAATTACATGATTGGCCATACAAAATTTCTGCTGCGAATTATTCAGGCTGTACGTAATTCAGTTTGAATTACTTACGAATTACGAATGAGTGTCATCTCTAATTTTTTATTGGGTATTTACCATAATCAGCTGTTTGTCGTAGAAACGACACATTGTAATTCAGAGGCGCTTTTCATCACAAGGTATACAGAGGTGTCACGACCAAAAAAAAATATTTCTCTCTCTTTCGCACAGAACGATTTCACTAATTTTTTTAGCCGTGTTCTATATACCTCTTCTCACCAAACAATTTCAAAATCAAACAAAAGCTGATTTTAAACTTTTTGAAATGTCAAAAGTAACACCTCTGTATACTTTGTGGTTTTCATGACACATTGGTAATTCGTTCGCATAATCATTTTGAGGTACACCCAATTCTACAACAAATACAACTAAGCAAAAACAACATGTATTATTTTTTTTGCAAAAATATGTTCTAAATGATAGAATAAATAGCATTAGGATGTCTCGTGGACCACTTTTTAGGAGGAATACCTCTAAAACGATGCGTTTCAATGTACTAAATACGAGAAAAATAAAAAAAAACATTTTTTTTTGAAAAGGTCCTCAGTTTCTTATCTGCGATTGGAAATCTTGATCTCAGCACAATATGTTCAAAAAAATTTTTCTGCTATCTTTTCGAATTGGGTGTCAAAAATTCCGTATCGTGGGAAAAATAATTTAAATGTTTGTTATTGTATTTCTGGTCCGCAAAACGACTTTTATTTAAAAAAAAATTAAAAATTCTAAAATGGACTAAACCAAATGCCAAAAAACGAAAAATCATTTTGTAGACCAAAAATATTCTACAAAAATTTTAAAATTATTTTTCCCGTAATCAGCTCAAAATTACAGAATTTTTGAGACCAATTTCGAAAATATTTTATTTTTCAAAAATTATACTGAGGTCAGGATTTTCAATCGCTGGTAGGGAACTGAGGTCTATTAAAAAAAAAAGATTTTTTATTTTTCTCGTGTTCAGTACATTAATACGTATGAAATTCTTAAAAAGGTTGTTCCTCGCGACAATGTACTGTGCATTTACTATGGCCCGTGTGTAGTCCTGTTAAAGTATTGAGTAGTGGGTATCGAGTATTTGCCCTATATTTTGGATACTCAATACTAAAAAGTAGTTACTCAATACTTTCAGACTTGTATATGGATTTAACTTATTTAAATTTAACGGCTATGATGTGAAAAATACAGCTCTACAACTAATACAGATCATATCATTATTAGAAATGCAACTCTTAGCAATATCAAAACAATGTAAAAATAATTTAAAAACTCCAATAATAGTTAAAAAGTTACAAATATTTATTGACGCAATCTAAAAAAAAAAAAAATAAAATATCTCAAAAGAGGTGTGATGTCTAGTCTAACTTTACTTAAAAAAAGGAAAAATTCCTCGTTTTTAATTTAAAATAAAACCGTAAAAGTATCGAGTAGTATTGAGTACCCAAACGAAAAGTATTGAATAGTATTGAGTAATCAAAAGTAGTAGAATATTACAGCACTACCCGTGTGTTTTGTAGAGCCATAAACTTTGATTTATTAAAGCAGCGACCGTTTCGAATTAATGAACAAATTATGGGATAAAATTCATAGGTTCTACCGATGTGGAGATAAGGTGGTGTGTCATAATGTTCATAGACGACGTGACGCAACAAACACGGACGTCCACGGACGTTATGACACTTTCATAAGTGTCATAAAGTCCATGGATTACAAATAGTCCATTTATCATGAAAAGGCTTAATATAGCGAAGCCTTTGATACGCACAATCTAAGAACAGTGACATGGGTCTAAACAGGGCATTGTTTAATTAGGAGTTTGTTATTAATGGGTACTGTAATATACCTGCCTATTACAGGTTATGTGAAGATAAAGAGGAATTATTGTATAAATTAAATCATTCCACTTTTTCACTGTTAAAAATTTCGTTTTAACCGAACACAATTTTTAATTTAAATAAAAAGCTTTGACATTTAGGAAACGGAAAATAGTTTTAAGATAACTAAATAAACTTACAACTTACAGCTAGAAAATAGAAAAAATTTAACAAAAAAAAATCAGCGACTTATTGACTTCACCTGTTAATTATTACATCTTGCATGAGTGTGTATAATACAAAAAGAAGTTTTTAACAAATTAAAACAAATAGCTGATTATGATAAATATCCGATAATAATTGGAGATGACACTCATTCGTTCGTAATTCGCAAATAACGTTTGACAGATTTCGCACTGTCAATATACCTAGACTGAAATTTTAGTGCACTAGCCCCAACTCTGTACCTGCATGCATACACACATTCATACATATACATTTTGTATTTTGCAGCTCAACTAAGATGTTTAATGTACGACGAGTACAATTATGACGATGACTATGACAACAACGACTGTGTTTATAATATTGTTCGGGTTTTCATTGCTAGTTAGTTTTGTTGCTGCTGTTGCTGATTTTGTTTAATTTGAAATAGTTTGTGTGTGTTCGTTGTCACCGATTGCTGCAAAATCTTACTCGTCTAAACTATCTATATTTCTTTCTAACTATGTATCTATGGATGTGAATATCTCCATTACGTCGAGTTACGTCGAATGTTGCATACAGTTTGGCAAACAGTATCGTGTCGGTAGTAGTCGCGAGCGCTTGATTTTCAGACGGATCTATATAGCGGCGCTGTGTTTAATTTTTGTATGCACAGTGACGACAAGTGTTCGGTGTTCCATCCTAGAATAGTGTAATAACAGTTTGTTTTGTTATTATTATTTTTAATAAAAAAAAAAAAAAAAAAACGAAAAGAAAAAGTTTAAAAATTAAAACAAATAATTCTTATAAAAAAGAAATTATTTTATTTAAGAAAGTGTAAAAATAATGTTAATCCAGAGTTGTTGTTATAAAGTCTATTTTTGCATTTATTGCATTGTGAGAATTTTTTAAAATTATAAAACGAGGCCTAATTGCGAGCATTTTCTGTAAAAGTCTATGTCGATGTTTACCACCCACTCTGCCAACACCACCCTCTCCTATTTCTCGGTAGAGTCAGTTAAGTTTTGTGTCAGTGTATGTGTGCGTGAGAGATTTTTTAAGTTGCATTGTTTGTTTTCTAGTTAAAATTCGTATTGTGGACTTGTTGTAAGTGCATATTCTGGTTACAATTGTTGTGCTTGTTGTTGAAACTGATTAAAGCTTAAATTAAAAATGGGACAGCAGCTATTTGTCTATTTATGCATAAACTAAATAATTGTCTATTTCGTCGGGTTTTATCAATTAATTATTGATTTCATTTACATAGAACGGTCGTTTGATTTTTTTATTATTCTTTCAATTTCTTTTAAAATGCGCGGATAATTTTTTGTTCTTTATGATTTTAATATACACGAATGAATTTCACAAAATTTTTTTTCGCTAGGAATTATTGGTGATCAAAGTAAAATCGTTATAAACAAAGAAAAATGTTATAAACTTAAAAGTAATTTGACAATATAAAATAAGAAAAAATTCTTCACTGGAAGGGTTTTTGGCAAATTTTCTCCAAAATATTAAAATTTATGTTGAACCATGATATAAAGAGAAAAAGACAGTCTCATTCTCTCATTTTGTAGCCATATTAACATTCTGACAACGGTGTACTCAATACAAGGTGACATCACTAGCCCAGCTGATCATTGTTTACAAGTTTTTATACATAGATTTGTATACAGTAGAGTGTCCCGAGCAGTGTTGCCAACTCTTGGAGACCAAAAATTACTAAAATCATCTCAAAAAATAGCTAAGAAATTACAAAAAGGCTAAAAACAATGGTTGAACCAGTTTTTTAACAGAAGCACATCATTTAACAAAAAAAAATTAAAAAAGTGATGTATGTATTTGGCAACATTGGAATGTTATAATAGTCTCAGAAAGAATTACTAAGATTGTATAAACAGGTTCTCAAAAAACTACTGAATAATCCTCTGAAATATATACAATTCAGTTATTGACAATTTCCGTGTTTCCTTCTTACAAGGATGAGGTTTTAAGAGTAGCACTACTTCATGACAGCAAAAAAATGTTACAGCGTAAATCTTCTCCAAAAGATCTATATTGGTAAGAAATATGAGCGATCACAAATCGAGAATATTTTGTCAATAAGTTTGGTTTAATACGAAGTTATTGAGAATTTGTTTTTTGATTTTTCCTAGTTAAAAATGATTTTTTCAGAAATATGAGGGATCACAAATCAAGCATATTTTCGCAATGAAAGTAATTAAAATTGTTTTCTTTTGAAAAATTTATGTCACTTTTGTGGCTAAGTGCTTTTAAAAAATCGAGCTTGATCATCTTAGAATTTTATAAAACTATTGGTAAGAAATATGAGCGATCACAAATCGAGAATATTTTGTCAATAAGTTTGGTTTAATACGAAGTTATTGAGAATTTGTTTTTTGATTTTTCCTAGTTAAAAATGATTTTTTCAGAAATATGAGGGATCAGAAATCAAGCATATTTTCGTAATGAAAGTAATTAAAATTGTTTTCTTTTGAAAAATTTATGTCATTTTTGGGCTAAGTGCTTTTAAAAATCGAGCTTGATCATCTTAGAGTTTTATAAAACTTGGTTAAATTTATGGGATTTAGCATGTATTTCGCTGAAATTTTAAATGGCGAAATGAAAATAAATGACAAAATTATTTTTTTTTATGGCTAAAAGAGATTGAAATGTGCTAAATTTAGCCATGTAATGGCAATACTGGTCCCGAAGAACAGTCTTTTTAAGAATCTCATATAGAAATATTAATGTACTGAACGCGAGAAAAATCAAAAATATTTTTTTTTTTTGGAATGGTCCTTAGTTCCCTGCCAGATATTGAAAATCCAGACCTTAGTATAATTTGAGAAAAAAATCTATTTTTTTTTTTTGAAAATTACTTAATTTTATGCTGATTACGTGAAAAATATTTTTATAGTAGTTTTCGTCCACAAAACGTTTTTTAGTGGGTTGGAGATGCATATTATTTTCGAAATAGGTGTCAAAACAGTCGTAATTTTTAGCTAATACAAAAAAATATTTAAAAAAAGTTTGGAATTTGGTTTGGTCTATTTCAGAATTTTAAATGAATTTTAAATTAAATTTGTGCTGATGTTTGCAACGCATTGAATCAGAAATTTAATACACATTTAAGATATACTCATAACTGGTGTAGGGTATTATATTGACGGCCATGCCCTTATTTGTTTAGATTATTTTGCAATTAATATGGCCCCTATAATGCACAAAAAATACACCAAAAATTTAAATTTTTAACAAATCGAACGAGCTACCACATTTATTTTGAAAATCCATTTTTTTTATTTTTCATTCAAAATATAAAAACACAGATCAGACATTTGAATTAACAGTTAAGCTTACTGGCATCCACTGTTTATGGACTTGTAGTTGGATTTTACTCATAACTAAACATACGTTTATACTACATTAAAAAATAGTACGGTTCCTTAACAAAATACTGTTTAACACACAAGGTTGGCAATCGTTATCGCTAAGCTTTCGCTACGACTAAAATACCAATAAAGAAATAAGTCTAAATACCGTTACGCTAAAATACCGAAAATACCAGAAAAAAACGTTTTTAGCACATACAGTTACCGCTAAAATATTGTTACCGAAATCTGTCAAAATACCGATAACGCTAAAATACCAAAAACCGAAATAACACAAAGATACCGTTACCGAAATAAGCCAAAATACCGATACCGCTATCTTTTACCATTTCGAAACGGTTACCGACCTTGGTAAAACATATCCAAATTCAGAAAATTGTGGAAAAATAAAACCACTTTTCTTAGAGAATTTCTAAAAGATTTCTCAAGGTTATAAAAATATCATATCGCACATCCAGTACAAAAGTGACTCAACTTAAATCAGCTATAAACTCTAGATTTTTTGAAAATTTAAAAAACAGATTCTTGTTGCATACGAGGTATTTTCTACTTTAGATTATTTTGTACCACAGTGTAATAGGTTTATTTCACAAAATTGCATTTATGACAAGATTTTAATCTTTAAAAGATATCTGAACTTTCGAATATACATACATATGTATCTCCTATAATATCTGCAGGGGAGTAGTTTTGGGATTACATAAAAAACTTCATATTCTGGTGCTTTTAAATAAATTTAAAACGTTGGGTAAAGAATAAAAATTGAGAATGAAAATATTTTTATTTATACATTTGGTGACAAAGTAATATGATCTGTCAAAATTTTGTGTAGACGGACGGATGGGATCGTCTAAACTAAATATGTAATGAAACCATCACACATTGAGTGAAAATACGGATGGAAAATTTAACAGTCGTATGGCTCTCTTCATTTTTTGAAATGATTCAAAAAACAAGCAGTCGAATTTTTTATATAAACACATACAAAAAAAGTGAAACAGCAGTTTCCATCTCACTTTTAAGAGTTGGATAAAGTTTCTATGCGGGAAAAAATAAATTTCTTTTTCGGAAATCCCAAGAAAAAATTATTGGGAAATTTCGGGAATTCCATTAAACGATTTTTTATTAAATTTTCGAAAAATATCAGGTAATTTTGATGTTTTCCGTTTAATTAATTTATTTTTATTTATTTGTTTATTTATTTTATTTTATATATAAAAACATCAGGTAATTTTGTTGTTTTCCGATTAATTAATCTGTTCCCTTATATGTGAGAATTATCTTCTCGAGAACAATTTTATAATCCAAACAGCGCTGTCAGACATTTTGCTCGGAATGGTTTCAAGTCCAACATTATAATTTCGACCGTCTTTTCAAATTCATTTCATTTAGCTTCTTCAAATTCCTATTAATGTATTTATTAATTTTTTTATTTATTTAATATAATAACCCTACAAACATTTTCTATTGCGGAAGTTACCCGTGTGAAACTTCCAAACGTGCTAAAAGCTCGCCAGCGATGTTGCGGAAGTATAAGAATTCTTGTCACCAGTCGGGAAGAACTGATGCCGAGCTGGGGAACGTCTAATAGTAACTTGGAAGATACTTCTGGAAGACCAGCAGAAGAAACTTCTAGATGACTCTTGGAAGTAAGGTATTGCCAAAGACTCTTCTAGATGTGACTAGGAAGTCACTTCTTGAAGTGACTACCTAGTATCCTCTAGAAGTGTTCCTATCTTATCTTCTAGAAGATGAGTTTTCTCTTCTTCTAGAAGATGAGTTTTCTCTTCTTCTAGAAGAAGAGTATTCTCTTCTTCTTGAAGAAGAGTATTCTCTTCTTCTTGAAGATGAGTATTCTCTTCTTCTAGAAGATGAGTATTCTCGTCTTCTAGAAGATGAGTTTTCTCTTCTTCTATTTGTATACTCACCAAAATAAAATCTATAAAAATAAATCTAAATAAAATGAAATTTTATAGTTTTTATTGAATTAATTGAAATTAAAATAGTAGAAAAAATAACAGATTTAACAACTAATCTAAAAAAAGTAATATATGTACATTAGACCGACTCACAAAAAATGGTGCTTGAGTTACCCCCCTCATAATATTCGCTGTTATGTAATATGATGTTACCCAAAATATTTTCGGTTAAGTGTTGTCCATTCGTGAGCTGGACAGTTTTAAAGAAAATATCGTATGGGAACACGATTCTTCATGTTAAATTCAATATTTTATCCAGCTTCAAAAAATCTTTGTTATGTTTTATAATGGTTCCAAAAATATTTCTAGTCTATCGGTGGCCGTTCGTGAGCTGAACCGGTTACAAAAAAGTCCCTTTTTAGTTATTTTGTTTTAAATTATACAGCATTTCTTAAACAATATATACAGTATGTGGTATCATTTGAAAGGTTTTTTGAAGCCAAGTCTAGTGGTGCGCAAAATTTGCAAAATTGTGCATATATTTAATTTTTCTTAGTAAAAACCTAACAATTTTAAATATTTTGGAATATGACAATTATAAGCAAACGGTTATTTATGATTAATACATCATTGGACGCGACTTTAAAATACCTTTTAAACGATACCCCGTATTGGATATTTTGTTTCAAAACAAACAAAAATTTAAAAAAAATAATTCCAAAATACCTTTTTTTAATTTGGTTCAGTGGTCACTTAAAATATTTTGGGAATCATCATAAAACAAAGCAAGGTAAATTTTGGGAGGGGTAACAAAAACACGTTTTTGCTTTCCATACAGAGGGAGTCGGTCTAATGTACATATGTATCAAAAATTTAGAATTATTACCTTATAATAAGATAATTTTCAGGGAGTCTGTATTAATATTCCAACTGCTGACTGGTATACTTCCAAAAATTGTAAAACGTTGGACTCTAAAATATTTTTGTAGTTCTTCATCAATTTTATGATTAATCCATCAAATTGTAAGAGTTATATTATGGAACGCATTAATCCTTCAACGAAATAAACCAAAATAATGTTATAATTAATATTGAATATACATACTTTTGTATTTATTGAAATTACCAGTTATACTTTAGGAAGCAATAAAAATAGGATTCTCTCATGTCCAATACATTTACCACCAAAGTTTAAACGGTCAGATCCATTTTTTACATTTTCTGCAAATAATCGACATTTTTAGTAGAACCACGTGATGAAATAAGACATTTATAACTTACCAGATCCCTTTTTTATATTTTAATTCAGTTAGAAGTATTTTAATATTAGCTACTGCTTTCTAAAAAATAAAATAATTAAAAATTAATTAATTTATTTATTTATTGTTTTGAATCAATAAAAACATTACCTTTCATGAACATTTTTTCAATAACTTGGAATTAAACCGTCTATAAAGATCTGAAATTACTAAGTCATGGATTATTTTTTAAATTATTTACAGTCACTAGCGATAGAAACACCTTAACGACCCTAAACGGGATATTGCTTTTGACATTTTTTGTTTGCTCTCTTCTAATACTTAGGTTCAATATCTTGGGAACAGCATGCTAAATATTAAGAATATTAGTATCTTATGATAGGTCATAGAAAGACCTGGTGTTAATAACTAAAAAAGTACCTATAATTAGAATAATTAAATCCAAAGCTATATGGAAATTAATAAAATTGTATTTATTTAAAAAAGGT